GCTCTCCTTTTTGAAATGGTCGAGGGAGCTAGGTCCGCAAACAGCTGATATTCGTGTCCCTGGAAGGACAGCCGTGCAGACTTGGCCCTAGCAGCTGCCGACAGAGTCTCCTTCGTGCGGTAGAAGTGTAATTTCACCAGCACATCTCTCGGAGGACCATCCGGGCGTTTTCGTGTCAAGGTCCTATGGACCCTCTCAATCTCGAGTCGATCTAGGGGGAGTTCCGGGGTCAACTACTGAAAGAGAGCCGTTGTGGTAGCATACAGATCTGTGATATGCTCCGGAAGGCCTCTTATCCGAAGGTATGATCGGCGGGATCTATTTTCCAGATCTTCTAACTTAGATAGTAACTGTGTATTCTCTTCCCTCAGCGAACTCACGTCTCCTGAGATGCCTGAGAGGTCCGTTTTGAGGTCGTCACAGCGGTCCTCCAGAGCAGCGGTACGATGGCCTATATCTCGGATCTCCTTCAGAAGCCTGTCTGTGATTTGCTTAGAGGTTGAGTGTAAGGCCTTCTGTAGCATGGTTTCGAATCTTTGTAGGAGCGCTGACTGCGATCTATTGCGGGATCTATCAACTTCTCTTGTCCCAGCGTCTCCCTCGTCCATTTCACTACTGGAGTCTGAGGCAGCTGTACGCGCGGGAGAGTGTGCCGCGGTCGCCATTTTGGCCGAGGCCTTGTTCTTTTCTGAGGCGCTCTTACTTTTCGTCGTAGGGGTGAATTTGGATCCCGAGGAATGCATCTCCTATGTCAGGGTGGATTCCGGTACCTAGGCAGGTATATCAGGGTAGTGGGAAGCGCGAGGCTCCCGGGTTATATGTGATTTTTCCGGGCGTGCAGCGGAGCTGTCTCAGAAGACGTCTGACATGACAGCCGCGCGCATGCGCCTCCTGTGTAGATTTTTTTTAAAGAAACCCTGTAGTGGATACAGGGCTGCCATTACTGACTCTAAGACTACTATATGCCATAATGAGTATACATTTCGAGTAAAGTCCAGGTCATCGCTTCAGAAAGTACTTAAATCTGAATTTCAGGCAGTGCTTTTCAGAAAGTACCTAAAGCTGAACTACAGCCAAGCAGCTAAGTATGAAGATGATACAGTGCATAGGAGCAGTATTTCTCTCCATCCAGTCCTGACTATTGATATGGTCCAGAAACAGTTAGACAAATTATGGTGAACAAAGCACCTGGACCAGATGGCCTACACCCACTTGTCCTCAAAAAATTGAACTGTATAATTTCAAAGCCATTGTATCTAATTTGTAGAGACTCTTGGTACCGACGGATTGCTGCAAGGCCAATGTGGTGCCTATATTTAAAAAGGGAGCAAAGTCTTTACCAAGTAATTACAGACCTGTAAGTTTAACTTCAATAGTTGGGAAGATACTTGAAAGTTTGATCAAGGATCACATGCAATTGTTTTTGCTTGAAAATAATATCATTAGCGATAGTCAGCACGGATTCACAAAAGACAGAAGTTGTCAAACAAACCTACTTTCTTTTTATGAGGAAGGGAGTAATACATTGGACAGAGGAATGGCTGTGGATATAGTATACTTGGACTTTGCAAAAGTGTTTGACACAGTTCCCCACATGCGGCTAATGTATAAGTTAAGGTCAGTAGGTATAGAACAGTGGTTCTCAACCTGTGTAACCTCAGGACCCACATTTCTCCTTGGTCATTGTCATAACCCAAGTTGCACTGCAATGGAATGCACGGCATTGTGGTACTGCATATTCCGATGCAGGCAATAGAACTGTGGGTAGGAGGTGCATTTGGGGTGCCATTCAAATGAATGACAATGCAATGCACTTTTCACACCAAAACACTTGGTAGGTGCGATTGGGAAGTACAGTGCGATTAACGCACAGTCCTAGTATGAGTGTACTAGTGTGAATGGGCCCTCAAAAACACACAATCTCACACACTCCAAAAAAATAAAATAAAGAATTGTTCTTTTTTTAAGATCCACCCAGTCTCCCTACCTTTTGAGAACTGGAGTGGATCCTTAGCCTGGGGTCCGGTGGGGGCTGCTGTACTGTGATGGAGCTCCATCCATATGTGCAGTGCTTGTACAGTTCCCTTGCAGACCCTGTAGAGGTGCAGAGAGCCAGTATGTTACATCACACCAGTCCAGGCACCTCTACAGGACAACCAAGGGAGCTGTAAGCAATGCACATATGGATGGAGCCCACCCTACCTCAAGCTGACACTCGGCACCGGGGAGCATATTTTGAATGGCTGCTTGGCGCAAGAACTGACAGTGCTGCGCTAGGGGCAGGCTGAGGAGCCTCTCATATAGAAAAGTGGAAGGCACACGGGAAACCCACTGAACACAGGGTCGCAACCCACTTTTGGGTCACGACCCACCAGTTGACAACCAAGGGTATAGAGTATTGGATCTGTAATTAGATACTGGCTTAAAGACCGTATTCAGAGAGTGGTGATCAATGATTCATACTCTGAATGGTCTGAGGTTGTTAGTGGTGTCCCCCAAGGTTAAGTTTTGGGCTCCTTACCAGTGGCGTAACAACCGGGGGGCGGGGCGCTTGCCCCAGGCACAGGACTGAGGGGGGGCGCCGTCATGACTCCCGCTAAACAAAGCCCCTGTGGGGGGGGGGAAATGTTCTGCCCCGGGCGCCCATAACTCTGGTTACGCCACTGCTCCTTACTGTTTAACCTATTTATAAATGACATAGAGTTGAGGATTAAAAGTACTATTTCTGTGTTTGCAGATGTAGTGGAATACCATGTAGTGGAATACAGTCCTTACAGGATGTCTCCATCTTACAAGCAGATCTGAATGCACTGCATGATTGGGTGTCTATTTGGCAAATTAGGTTTAATGTTGATAAATGTAAAGTTCTGCACTTGGGGACTAAAAACATGCATGCTTCATACACTCTAGGGTGAGTATGTTTGGGGAGTCAATGGTGGAGAAAGATCTGGGTGTTCTGGTAGATCATAGACTCAATAATAGCATGCAATGTCAAGCCGCAGTTTCTAAAGCAAGCAAAATACTTTCTTGTATTAAGAGGGGTATAGACTACAGAGATAGAGACATCATCCTGCCCCTGTACAAAGCATTAGTAAGACCTCATCTAGAATATGCAGTTCATTTTTGGGTACCAGTTCACAAAAAGGATGTTGTTGGACTGGAGAAAGTGCAGCAAAGGGCAACTAAACTCCTAAGAGGCATGAAGGAGCTCAGCTATGAGGAAAGATTAGCTGCACTGAATGTGTTTTCTCTGGAGAAGAGGCGATTAAGGGGGGACATGATCACTATGTATAAATACATAAAAGGTCCATATACGGAGCTTGGTGCCAAATTATTCACTTTAAGGAAAAGAGGTTTAACCTTTGCATACGGAAAGGATTCTTCACAGTTTGAGCTTTAAAAATGTGGAATAGACTCCCCCAGGAGCTAGTTCTAGCTAGTTCAGTTACCTGTTTTTTTTTTAAATCGGGATGTATTCCTAATAGCTCAGAATATTACTGAATATTGAGTTCTTATAGGTATATTAAGCATAAGAGATTGTTGATCCAGGGAATATCCAATTGCCTTGGGATCAGGAAAGATTTTTTCCCCCTGTGGGAGCAAATTGAACCATACTTTATAGGGGTTTTTTGCCTTCCTCTGGATCAATAGTGGGTAACTGTGGACATAGCGTTCTGTTTTAGGTTTTTCTTTTTTTTTTCTCATCTCTATAGGTTGAACTCAATGGACTTGTGTCTTTTTTCAACCTGACTAACTATGTAACTATGTAACTATGTAACTTGCACTTGTCTTGATAGACAACCTGGCTGTAAAAGAAAGAATTTGACAGCTTTGTGAAGAATCTGTTTAAAAGCCAGCTGTTACTTTCTCAAAATAAATAATTAAACTCAGTGTGCTGAATATACTTTTTACTCTGTAAATAAATTTAAGCAAATAACTACTTCTCGCTGTATGTAAGCAGCAGTCCCTCGGCATTTGGCCTAACTCTCCCCCTGTTGAGTTAGGCTGGGTTCACACCTAGGCGTATCGAATATGCGCGTTTGTTGCGCGTTTTTACAGCGCTTCGACCGTGCGGCAAACACGCGTTTCCGAGAGCTACCTGGCTGTGTCCCAATGGATATGCGCAGCAAATACGCCCGAAAGAAGCTCCTGTACTTCTTTGGGCGTAGGGCGTTTTGCAGCGCGTTCCTACATGCTGTAAAACGCCTAGGTGGGAACCATGCCCATAGGCAATCATTGGTTTTCACATTGGTTTTCACATGTTGAGCGTGGTGTGGACCAGGCCTTAGAGTTAGGCAATCAACAGGGAGTATGAGGAGACATGTCAGACTAATGCAGAGAGACCTCTGCTTTCACACATTCCTCTGCGCTCCTTCTCTGAAGCCTGCTCACTGGCCACAGACTTTGCAACAGATACTTGAAATAATTTTGCAATTAAAAAGTGGGACTTTGCAGAATTAGTAATTTCAGCCTCATGAGCTTAAAGCTGGACTCCAGGCATAGCCCCATCCACTATCCTTTGCCCTCCTCCCCCAACTAATCACTGAGTTAGGTAAAAAAACAAAACCCTAAGCTAAACCCCCCTCTTATCCTAATAAGTGACCACTGCCTGGGTAATGGGGTCACTTCTAGTGGATGTCCAGTTGCAGGCTCCTCTCAGGATCCAGAAGGCTGCAGCAATGTGATGACATCAGAAAGACAACTAGTCGGTGTGAGCACAGACTGCAGAACTGGCTCTACCGGTCGTCACTCCCAGAAGTGGTGCCAGCGAGGGACATGGACACATGGACTTAGTGAGTATAAAAGAGGCCTCATAAGGTATTGTTTATTTTTTTTAAACAAGTAAAGATTGGGTGTAAGAGGGTGGGAGGGGAGAGATCTGTGCCTAAAGGTGGGCTCTTGTGGAATATTACTGTTGAGCTTTAAGGCTTATTGTAAAAGCATAAATCAAGTAGAATTTTATGTAATTTAACATTTTCGTATTTCCGTTTACCTCACAGAAAAAAGAGCAAGAATCTTTTGGAAGAAAGCCCATCAACACATATAGTGGAGGAAGAATAACTTACACATCAAACATTTCTAAAGACCTGTCTTCATCAGTCATCTCAAATGCTGCCCCCTTACACATGAAGGCTGTGGAAGATAAGTGTCCTGAAACTAAAAAGACTTATAACAGTGTCAGCAAGATTGACAAGATGGCTCGGATAGTCTTTCCAGTCATGTTTGGAACTTTCAACTTGGTTTACTGGGCTACATATTTGAACAGGGAACCTGTGATCAAGGGTGCTGCTGCGTCCAAATCCTCCACAGTGTTGCCAATACATATCTAAGCCATATCCTTGCAATGGACTATACCAATGAAAGTTGTACAGTTTGGCTTGGACAATTGTTTATTTTTACTTTCTGTGTGGAGCATTCCATTTATTTTTTTCTTCAACAGTCGCTAACTAAATTTATGTTTATATCTTACCTCATATTTGCAAGGGAAGCTTACTAAAACACCAAAAATCTGTTAATTTTAATTTACTTTCATTTTAAATAACACATTTTGGATGACGTGTAAACTGCAGCAACAAAAAGACCAGTGTTTCACATAGAACCTAATCAAATTCCACCTATTTATAGTACAGGTTATAAAAAAGAACAGGTTGCTATGAATAAGACAGACACTGCTCTTTTCCTCAGATTTTTTTTTTTTACTTTATCTGATTGTAACATATTTTTCAAACTGCTGACTAGAGGTGTAGCAGACTATATTGGCATTTTTAGCACTACTGTATAGTTAAAGCTAAAATTAATGTAGAGCAAGAAGTCAAAATCAGTTGGGCTAGGTTATTACTTTCAAAAATATTCCAAAAGTTATTGAAAGGGGCTTTGTTGTGCAGCAAAACAATGTTTCAATGTGAATCTGTCATAGATCAAAACTCTTGTGTGATTAGGGTTTAATTAAAAGAACCTGTTATGTCTAGCAGGAGGTTGCTGATCGAGGTCGGGGGAGTTGGATGCTTTTATTGCGTGCATTAGAAAAACAATGGTCAAAATCATATTAGTAACCTATAGCAATGTCAGAAGGATAGCTGCAGGTCAAGCACCAAAGTTATGAGAGTTCTAAACCAAGAAAAATTAAAGAGAGACAATACAAAGACATACACCGGGGGAACTAGGAATGGGATTGATAGTCACTAAAGAAAGAAGAGCTACACAAGATAGATGAGCTACTCTGTGATTAATTGCTGCTTCTTTCCTATATGCTAAAGCTGTGCTCAGGTGTCTCAAGAACTTACTATTTGATAAACATTAACCTGTATGCATAGCACATGAGGAAGCTTACACTAAGATGAGAGAATGTATGAGAAGATGGGAAACCATGCAGTACAGGTACTTGCCTTCCAACTTTTTGAAATTAGAAAATCACACACCGTCCAGCACAAGCTATTTAGGCAATGGCCAAGCCCTCAGTTATGTAGAACTTTAAGAATTGATGTGCCAAACATGATTTTTGGGGGCTCATCGATCGGTGACACAGGTGTGACAACATCACAGTACAAATGGCATGTGAGCACGTGGGGATCTGTATAGGAGCACACCTCCCATCATCAATCACCTCTCTCCCCTTAATCACGCCCCCGATCCTTGTTGCGACTCTCACCCCCCTTGAGTGGCGGACAGTGCAGAGTGTTTTCTAGTCACAGAGGAGGAGGGGAGCACCATGTTTATAATTGTGCTACTAAATAGGAGAGTTCGATGCTGTATTCACTGAATACAGGTCCGGCCTTTGCTATGCCTCGCAGCTGCACCCGAGGCGAGTGCATCACTATTTCTACGGCCCTGGGCAAACCCACTCAAGACCTTGGCAGGAAAAACAGAAGCTTAAAGATGAGTGCACAGAAAAAGAGACAGGCCAGAGGCTAACAAGGGCAGATAACCAAACTAACCAAACCAAGTCAAGAAATTATGAGCTGAGGTGTAGAGTGGGAGTAAACAGGATAATAAACAAACACAACGGATAACTGCACTAGAGCAACACCGACAGTGCAGTCCAAGCAGCATTAAGGAAGACAATAACTAAGCTCTGAAGTATCACAAAACTTTAGCCATAAAAACACAGACACTGGTCGAATGATAACGATATTCTAGAAAAATTATCTCAGGAAAAAGCTAATGAGGAAACCGCTACAACGGGGGTAGGCAACCTTGGCACTCCAGCAGTGGTGAAACTACAGATCCCCATATCACTTTTCTTCTGAGAGTCATACCTGTGGATTTCAGAGGCTTGCAATGCCCCATGAGACTTTTATTTTCACCGGAGCTAGAGTGATAAGGTTGTCTACCCCTTCTTTAAAATCTGCAAGCAAACAGTCTTATGTGACCAAAGAAAAACCCCTCTGCTAGGATCACTGCTTTTATGCAGAGGATTGTCTTGGTCATAAATAAGGTCACTGGTGATGCTAAAATTTGTAACCAATAACTGTACTGTACAGTAAAAACCTGTATGTTTGCCTCTTGTCACCTCTAGGCACAGGTCTAGTGTGCCCAATGGTAAATCTGGTCCTGTAAATGATGTAGATGCAAACAGAATGCAAACACTGCACAGGCAGGAATAGGAGAAAACAAAGCAGAGGTAAACTGAGACATGGTGGTGAAGAGAATGCCAGGAGGATGTAGGAACAAATACTTGCTCTTCCATGACTTATGTGTCATGTCTTAGTTCATGGAACATAGACAACATGCATAGACAACAGACTTAATTTTCCTACCCTAAAATAAATATAAGGCATATAAGATGGGAAATGTTTGCTTTCACATCTAATTACATAGGCCCTTTACTTTGTGGACTTCCTTTAATGCATGGGCTTTATAAAGATGTACACAAGGTAATAAAGGTTGCAGAGTGCAATAATCCAGAGTAACCAATCAGGTTTTACAATTTTATCATTTTTAAACAGAGGAACTAAAAGTTGATTCATGATAGGTGTCTCTTGGCTGTTTACCTAACAACATAAGTCTAAGGGGGTTATTCACAAAGCTGCCAAAGGCAGCCGAGTGAATAACCCAGCCAAACTGAAGTGGGCCGATTAACGTTCGGGTATACACTTTTGGCACTTTTGGCTTGAAATCAGCCGTACATTGGCTGCCTTCGGCTTCACTTCGGTCAGCCGAACATGCCCTGCAGTAGGACTTCGACTCAGCCGATCCAACATATGGATTTATTGAGCCGAAGCTCCGGCAGCTCAATCGCTGCAGTTTGCCCGTATTCACATAGGGGCAGAACAGAGGTGAGTGAATAGCCAAATGCTGCCGAGCGGCATAGTAAATCAATGAAAATAGTTTTTTTTTGTTTTAAAGTTGAAAAAATAAAGATTTTTTTACAAAGAAAAAAACAAACAATTGGGCGGGGCTAGCAGTGACAGCTAGCTCCACCCAACTTTTTCCTATTGGCTGCCACCTGCTAGAGTCTTCTAGAAGGTCGCAGCCAATTAATAACAACTGGGCGGAGCCGGCCCTGACGTCACGGCCGGCTCCGCCGAGTTGTTTTTGTTTACTGACAGTTCAGAGTTCCCGGGTCATTTGGGGATGCTGATTTATCATTACAACTGGGTGGAGCCAGCGTGACATCACAGCTGGCTCCGCCCAGCTGTCATTTGCTTTCGGCTCGGCTGAGCCACTCGGCCGCTTTTGGCTGCTTTACAGGCTATAGTGAATAGCCCGTACAGCAGCCCTTCGGTTCGACTGAACTGAACGGCTCTGGCGGTCGAAGAGAGCCGAAGGATCAGCCAGAGCTACTGGATCCTTTGGCTCCTCTGTGAATAACCCCCTAAGTGTACTAAAGAAAGACCACACAGGGCACACTCACTTTTATGCCTTGCTTTTTGTGCCTTTTTAAAATAATATTCCTTAGATGCAGTCTTTTAGCACTATTCTAATATGTAAAGACTACCTAGAAAATAGAAAATATCCTTTAGGTTGAACCAAATAATGTTAAGGAAAAACTTTTTCATTCTGGCCCAACTGATGGCTTTTACAATTTCTTGAAATAATCAGTTCAATAGAAAAGACATCATATAAACCTTTACCTTCAAACTTGTGCTTGTCACTCCTTTGCTTGACAAAGAATTCCAGTTTCCTAACCTTTTCAATGCCAGCTTTGCAACTCAGTACTTTGACAAAAGGATTATTGGCTTGAAAAATTATGGTTGGAACTTTGACTAAAAGGGTTGTTAGATTTTACAGTGTTCCCTACACATCCAATTAAAGAGAAATTGCACCTAGTTTTAAAAATAAAAATCCTACTTAGGGGCAGACATCATAAGATGCCTGCTTTGCCATTTTATTACAGGCAGATATATAGCACTGTCAGCTTTCACAGCACTTTAATTACTGTACATTCATGTCAGTCTCTGCCCTCAAAGAGCTTACCATCTTAGGCCCCTATCTCACATTCTAGGGCCAGTTTAGACAGCAACAAATTAACTCACCAGCATGTCTTCTCATGGTGTGTGAGGAAACCCATACCAGCACAGGGAGAACATGCAAACTTCATGTAGATAGTGTCCAAGCCAGAATTCAAGCCGGGGACCTCAGCACCGGAAGGTAGAAGTGCTACCCATTAAGCCACTGTGCTGCCATCCAGCATTTTCTGTGCCCCTCTCATACATTGTTATGCTTTGCTATTGGGGCAAAGTCAATCTAAATCAAGGAGACTGTGAATATGAGTAACTATATTTCAGAAACACATCTGAACAAAAGAAATGTAAAATTAAATAGAGTGAATTTAGGATGCCTCCTTCTTTCCTAATGCAGCAGCTAACATAGAATAGACTGTGCTGGTTATATCAATATAAAATACAGTCTGTTTATTTGAATGCTAATGGTAGGTATTTTGTATAATGCAACATTTTCCTTTGTTTGGTGGTCCAATATGCCAGTAAGTCTTTACATGCTTAGCATTATCTGGGAAATTTACCCAGAATGCACCAAATGTGTTGGGTAAAAACTAGACTTTCTGATGGTCTGATCATTTTTAATCACATTTCTCTCAGATGTATATAGTTTAAAACGAAAATCACAGACCTTACTTTTAGCAGAAGCCAGCAGACAAATGCAAACCTTGGTAGTGGGCTGTAGATGCCTATATATTATGTAAATGCAGTGGTCTCTCTGCAATGGTCCAACTAAGCTCCTGTTTAGTCACATCTACAGTTCTGCAATCAGCAATGGTAGCTGTCCCTGAGCAGGGAGCGTGATCATTGCTGACTGCATAGCTATATACTTCAATAGGTTTTTAATAATATTCCAGAGGGTGTGGAAAAAATGTCTTCAATAACATTTGAGCGCAAAAAGAGTGATATCAATGTCAATACTGTCAATGTTTCATCAACCAAGTTTAGTTATGGAGAAAAGCTATCAAGCCTTTTTCACTGCAGGATTATATCTAAAGCTGGCCATACACCTTAAAATTATCTGCAGATTTTCTGTGGTCAGATGGAAAAGGTGCAACAGATTCCTCCATCTACACTTAACTGTGTGGATGGAGTA